AATTAAATAACAACTAAATCATAGGTACACAATCGTTCACAAGGCGAGCTATTACATAAAAAATAACAAATTACAAACACAACGGATGATCAGTTACACTGCACTGCTGTTTTTGTTTTGTCCATGAAGAAATTTAATACGTAGAGAATACGTTTGGCGCGAAAATAATTTAATTTCCGTTTAAATAATAATCTTTTCGAGTTTGGCGAGAAGTTGATAGCAGAAGAGAATATGTGCTTTCACATTATCGGTTTAACATACGTAAAAGTGATGCTGTATTAAATGTCCACGCATGTGCATAATCGCGGAAACCACGAAATTAGTTCTCTGATGGAGAAATAAAATCTCAAGTTATTTTTATTTTGCCATATTACTACCTATCTACTAGCTATCACTAATTACAAGGTGGTAAGCGGTCGCAAAAAAAAAAAAACTACTAGAAACTTCAAAATGTCACGCGAGATATTGTGAGTATATTAATTATGGAATAGGATTGGATGATGTGTTCCAAGTTTTGACGTCTGTTTTAGCTTTAAGACGTGGAACGTCTCTTAATATTGCCAGCTCCAAGGCATTAAATAGGGTAGTATTGTAACCTAAGAGCAACAAAAGAAGAAAGATGGAGCGCTGCGTACATTTCATTGGACATAAACCATACTCAACTTATTGTAAAACTAAGCAATCACGCCCAGATAATGCATCTTAAATCACTTACAAACGATATAATGGTTTTATATATATGTACCATATATGTACCTAAGTGCGTGTCAAGAAGTTGAGCATGTTAACTTTCTTACTTGTCTTTCTTCTTTATGATCTGAGATTTTAAAATAATAATATATAAAGACTACAATACAATATAAAAGGAACGTAATAAAAAATGATTCATTAAGGCTTCTCACAACAGTGCAATGTAACTGATTTGATAAGTTAACTTAACCTATACATAACACGAACACACCAAAGTTATAAATATCTTCCACTCAAACAAATAAAGGAAACATTCATGGCAATTGGCCTCATTATAATAAAAGGCGGTGGTTAATTTCATACTATGGTACTTATCAAAATATATATTCCTGATGTACACTGTACAGTGCAGGCATCTAGTATTAGGGTTGCCAACTTTTTTAGGAGATTTATTACACTACCTATTGTATTTCTCAGGGAGGTATTGAATAAAATACTGTACAAAACTTAAATATTATGTATTTCTTAATTATTATTTAAAATACGAAAAATATACAACATGGCTAAACGTTCAATCTACACAATTCTAATAACATGTTGTGTGGGCATTAAAAAAAATTAAAAGTTGTACAGTCATTTTGAAATGTACTTCTAGGACAGTAAACTTAAACTAGAATATATAGTATAACAATGCATTTAAGTTGGCACCCTAAGCAGTATTATGAATTGTGGCAAAATCATAATATTTACAACCTAAATACTGTAAGTAGGTCAATATTGGTTTGTATAATACATCCTCCAATAACTAACGATATATAAAAAATACAGTACAGCTTAAGATATAAAACTGGTGGGGCAGTGGGAAATGAGAGGCAGTTAATACGGAGGCGTATATTACAGGTTCACCTAATAAGTAGTAAGAATCCTTGAATGCCTAGAAATCTATTTAAAAACATACCATCTTCTTATCTACTTCTGCAGCCAGTGTTTACAGGCTGTGAGGCATTCTTAGTCCGCAGAGGCAACCACTTCTGCCTGTATCTGTAGCCTACCTTATTTGAAGTTGGCTGTAGACGTCTATTGACTACAGTATCACTTACCATCAGGTGGACTGCAAGTTTGTATAGTTTGTTACCTAATACGGAAATTCTTAACAGATAATGATCATTGAAAGTAGTTAGGTTAACTCTTAATTAAAATTATTTTTACGGATTTCATCGCGTTTAAGTTATTTTATTTTTAATTGCCGACGTTTCAGGTGCTTTCCAGCACCCATGGTGACGAGGGACTGAGGTGACTAACGTCCCGATGTCAGTGTTAACCCGGAGTACCTTTAGCTTTTTAATTATTATTTATGGTCCGATCCACGCAGAATGAACTTATAATTCATTCTGCGTAGATGAACCTTAAATAATAATTAAAACGCTGAAAAAAGCTGAAGGTACTCCCGACGGTAAAATTCGGGTATAAAATCCGTAAAAGTAGTTTTAATTAACGTGTAATGTTCGCGTAAATATAAGAAATTAGGTTAATTCTAGTAAAAATGAGTTCATTATCATCTCTCGCATTCAAACCTAAGTCCAGTTATTTTTAATTTAAAGAAAAATAAAACAATGGAATTAAACGCATTGTATCACAGACGTGTATTTATAAAAATAACAATAGCATGCCTCGAAATTACGATTTTGACTGCTGGATTTAAACAAATAAAATTGTAGAGTTAATTAGAAAAAATCAAGATATTAGTGAGATTAATATTAGGGATATTGTTTTACAGTAAGAATAACGTAATGTCTTTTAAACATGAAATTGTTCGAGGCCTTGATATAGCTTGAAGTTACGTAGCCTCTAACACCTTCCGCCAAAAGTCGGAGATAGGCTTGTAGGAAAGAACTATATTTTTTTTGCGTGTAAGTAAGGTTGCCAGAGGTCTTTTATTTTAAAGGACGTCTTCTTTTAAACCCAAAAATTGATCTCGTGTATTTGTCATGAGGAATGTTATATGAAAAAATCCTCTAAAACATAAAACGGAAGCTGGCAACCTCATGTGTAAAGGACACTGTAAATACATATAACTAGATTTTCATAATACATTTTTTTATAGTTTTAAAAGTAAAAAGCACTATTCCAACACTATACGAATAAAGCAATATACATAGGTTACATTCTCAATACATTCTTAAGAAGATAGTAATACGTCAAAAGCATATCTTACCATAGTTACCAATTTAAGGACGGTTTGTATAATACGTTAGACATATAAAATAAAACCAATACCGGTCAGAGCATGTTTTAAATAATATTGTAAATTTTGTATTTTTTTAGTAATTGCAAGTTACATGTATATCGTTTATAGAAACGAGGACTGTTAGCTGTCTCTTTCTAGCGTATGAAATTGTAATAAAACATATTCACCTAATGCACATTTTATGTTATTCGTTAAATAAATAATAATAATATGTCAAAATTCACAACAATATGTGCGTAATAAAGTTATTAGTTGATATATTATTATTCATTAGATTTAGATGTAAAATGTTTCTAACAATAATTTTTAAAATCCTAATACAAGAAGCAAAGGCACAGAGAATTCTGTCAGTCTTGCCATAAAAATATGTGTACAAAAATATTCACAAAATTATAATTTTACAGCAAAAAATTACATAAAATAAAATAAATTTTATAAAAAAATAGGTATAATTACAAAATACATTATATTTTATGCAATGAGTAATAATTATGACTATTTTCAATTCGGTCAGTGGATATTAAAATATCTTCACCATGAACATAATTTAGAGAAAATTTCGAATATTTTACAGGATTTTGCGTTTTAAGGAGAAATATTCAAGTAGTACAATGTAAGTTTTATTTATATTTTATGTACCTACCTAAACGTATCATTTTTTATAATTGATATTTTTATATCAACTTTGTTCCCGTACAAAAAATTACAAATAACAATTTTGTGTAAAAATACTAAGAGATATCAATCAATTTGCATAATTTTACTCACGAAAATAAATAAATTAAATAAAATTACACAACATACAAATTGGATCATACATTTACACTTAAACAGATTCACACAAACACATCTAAGGCACATATTGGCATTTAGTTTAAAAAATGTCAAAGCATAGACATTCAGTGGTTTTATACAAAAAAAAAAAAAACAGTTTTATTCGTTCTTTGATTGTATAGCATCGGCACAACAGAGTATTTTCTTTAATCAATGAAAATTGAATTATATACCTAATTTAAAATTATGGCGCTTGATATTTATTATAACAATATTTAGTAGGTACTATGCGCGCACGATAAGTATAGGGCTATCAGACTGATTTCTATGTATACTACTCATAGAATACTATAATACATATATAATAGAACGGGGGAGTTGTTGGCAAATACATAATAAAGTTATATACTCGTACTTAACTGAAATGAACTTCAAATCAAGTTTTCAAAAATAATGAAAGCGTTTTCTTACTCACATTAGACAGAATCAGTATTAGATTTTTTTTATAGAATAAGGGTGACAAACGAGCGTACTCCACCTGATGGTAAGTGGTTGCTGTGGCCTACACGAATGGTTTGGCTCAACCGGGGAAGAACCACGCTCTCACAGAATATCAGCGTAAAATATCAGCTTATTGCGGCTGTGTTTCGTGTGGTGAGTGTAGAGATCCGGAGACCCGTTTTAGTTTTAGGCATTTTATCTTAGTCCTCAGGGGTGACAACGCATCTGCATTTTGATTCTTAATCGAGGATAAATGTAAATGTTTACAGTCCACAGTATTCACTTACCGTCATGTGGACTGTGTGGACGTTTGTCAGCCTTATTCTATAAAAAAAGTAAATCGAACCAGTTTCTTTTCCGGCGTGCATAGAAAATGTTAAATGTGTGACTTAATTTAAAATCCTACGTGTATTATGAAGATATGTTTTATTAAGTTTTTTTAATGGGACTTTATTTCAGAAGTTACAAAGAGATATTATAGTGCATTAGTAGCGGGGAGATCTACAAACATACGTGCCGAAAATTAACTTTTACGAACTATACCAAGAACTTGCCATAGACATAAAAGTATTTTTTAAAGATTTAACAAATTAATTTACAAATAAAAATATCTTTTATAATGAGAATAATTATTTTTGGTCTATTGACAGTTATTTGGTTGAGTAAGTTAAAGTTTTTATAAAGTAAAGCCATTATTATTTCGTTCCGATTTTATAAAAAGAAAACCATAGACATTTTTTATTTCCACAAGCAATGTGATCCTTTGGTTTTGATACATTCTTCGTTCTCACTGCTGGAAATGCGAGTACCAAAAGATATTAGCCAGCACTCCCGCCAACATGAGCGAGAAGTAGATAACAACCGCCGCCCACCACAGTCTCTTCTCCCACTTTCTCTTCTCTAAGTTACGGAGTACTCCTATACCAACTAATAGACCTAAAATATGGAAGTCAAAACTAGGTAATAGGAAAAATGACACGATAATAAGAATAACTAAGTTTACGGATTTTATCGCCTTTAATTTAAACTTTTTAATTCTCAACGTTTCGAGTGCTTTACAGCGAGTCTGCAGTTTGTTTGTCTGTCTGTAGCATATGTTCAAGATCGTCCCCGCTATTACATTACATTTGATAGACCACAAATCTTCACAAAAGTTCACCGATTCCTACCAAGAATAACTCGCGAGGCTATTGAAATTAAAAAAAAATCCAAATTTCAATAGAGAAGATAGATGGGTGCTGCTATCTGCTTGAGATAATACAATTTATAAAATTAAATTCCAGCCCAAGCATACCACTGATGGACTTCAAGATACTACGAGGGCTGCACTAAAAGTATCGGGAATGGAATATTTCCACTGTTCCTGTCATAATAAAATATTTTTAATTGAAAACTCCTTGGTTTTAAAAATTGAATACCATTTATTTATTTAAAAAAAGATTCTCGGTCTTGTCACAAGGTTTTGTCAAACTTGTTTAGTCGTTGAGAAAATGGAATTGACTCGAGATTTCAAGAGCGATGATTTATTATGACTTTCGAAGTAGTTTAACACAAAAACAGTGTGTTGACCGGATGATTTCTGCATTTGGTGATGAAGCCTCATCCAAAACCATAATTTATCGCTGGTTTGCTGAATTTCAACGTGGTCGTGTCAAGCTCAGTGATGATCCCCGTCAAGGTCGTCCAAAAACTGCAGTCACCCAAGAAAACGTTGATGCTGTGCGTAAGCTGATTGAGGAAGATCGACATGTGACATACCGCGAAATCCAGGCAACTTTAGACATTGGCATGAGTCAAATACAAATAATCTTGCATGAACAATTAGGTTTAAAAAAGTTGTTTTCCCGATGCATACCGCATTCGCTCTGTGAAGAGCAAAAAGCGGCTCGCGTTACTTGGCGCGTCAGAACTCGCTCGAAAGATTCCACGCAGGATCCTTAAATGCTGTATACAACATCGTATCAGGTGACGAATCCTGGATATACGCGAACGAACCCAAAACAAAAAACCAGTCACGAGTTTGGGTGTTCGAAAATGAGTTAAAGCCAACAAAAATGGTTCGTTCACGAAGTGTTGCAAAAAAAAATGGTGGCCACGTTTGTCTCCAAAACCGGCCATGTTACGACTATTCCTCTTGAGGGACAAAGAACGGTTAATGCAGAATGGTATCAGCATTTGTTTGCCACAGGTCGTTTCTGAACTCCGTAAAGAGAACTGCAACTGCCGCATCATCCTCCATCACGACAATGCCAGTTCTCACACCGCACACAGAACAAGAGTTTTTAGAGCAAGAAAACATAGAATTATTAGATCATCCGCCGTACAGCCGCGACCTAAGCCCTAATGATTTCTATACTTTCCCTAAAATAAAGAATAAATTGCGTGGACAGAGATTTTCATCACCTGAAGAAGCTGTGGACGCCTACAAAACGGCCATTTTGGAGACCCCAACTTCCGAATGGAATGGTTGCTTCAATGATTGGTTCCATCGTATGGAAAAATGTGTCAAATTTCGCGGAGAATACTTCGAAAAGCAATAAATACATTTTTAAACAGTAATGTTGTGTTACTTCCTTGATTCCCGAAACTTTCAGTGCCGCCCTCGTATAAGCTCATTCTGCGTAGATCCGACTAAAAACTAATTTTTAAAAGCCGAAGGTATCCAGACTAACTATGACATCAGGACGTCAAACACCTCAGTCCCCCTGTGAAGCTGTAAAGCACCGAAAGCAAAAAAGCAACGAAACGTCGGGAATTAAAAAAGATATAATTAAACGCGATAAAATCCGTAAAATTAGTTTCATTTAACCACTCAATATGAACGCAGTCGGATCCGACCACGGCGATATTTCGTCAAATTCCAAGCGGTCGGATCCGACCACACCCACCCACAGCAGTTGAAACCACAAAAACTTATATTTAGAGACTACTTGTCTATGAAGAAGTTTGGCATTATAAGCTCAATGTGAAATTTCCTATCCTCTAATGCAATACAACGTAGTAGTCTATGGTTTTTTTATTTATAATCTACGTTCATTTCATACGCCTATTTCGTGTGGCTTGTTATTGTGTTGATTTTTAGATTTTTCTAATGTTTTATTGGTGCTTTATAAATATAAAAAATAGTTATATATATTTATTAAGTTCTGGACAATATTATCTGGAGTTACTTTGCGGAAAGGGTCTTTGCAGTTGGCCACCGCAGAGTCTATTTCACCCGAGGATGCCTCGTGTTTAGATTACGCGGACCTTAACAAGTTGATTTTTAACGTGTTTAATATTATCTGTACTCACCAGCCACAGCGCCAGCCAGGTGCGCCACGTATCCGATGTTCTGCTGCAAGTGTCTCCAGTAGCGGTCATACACGGCCGTACCAATGTCCACGATCGTCAGCAGTAGAAAAACTAGCAGTTGAACTATCGCGAACTCCATCTCCGCCCAATTCTACAAAGGAACGTTTCCATTATTTCAATTAGAGACGGCTCCGTGGCGCAGTGTGGGTTCGAATTTCGCACCGAACAAGTGTTTGTATACAAATAATTTACGGGTCTGTACGGTTATCCTTCCGAAATTTATGTATGTCAACTGCCTCCACGATACAGAAGAAAATCCTAGTGTGGGGGTAACGTTTAAAAAATATATTTAATATTATTTTGTATTTAATTATTTTGCACACCAAAAGGTAGATTAAGGCCGTACTCTTGTTAGAACTAGAACTAATATAATCTATATTACGTAAAATAATAAATTAATTTAAATACGATTTTATGTAGAATTCCGGAGAAAGCTTTTTGACGGGCTCTTAACAGGAAAAGTTTTCTACATTCTATAATTTATTTTTGTTCAGCTGTGGGTACTATGTAAGCTAGAATACTAAAGACAAAAAAACACCCGACTAAATTGCAGGATTTTAACTCACACACACACCAGCGTAGTAGGCGCGATTACGCGGCCAAGTCAAGTTTATGGCTTTGTGTGTGAAAAACACAGAGAAAACAAATTTTCCCAGAAATGAGACCTAGCTAGATTGATTATGCGTTCAAGCAAGTCCCCATATTCTAAATTTTATCGAAATCGTTGGAGACGTTTTCGAGAACGCTATTACAATGTATGTGTGTATAGGGTTTTTTATATTTTATTTATGTATTTTGTATAGGCTTGTTAAACGATTTATTTGATTTTTTAATATTAATATATGCTGCTATAGAAATTATTTGTAGTAAGAAATTAAATACTTAAGGTTAAATAAGTTTGTACCTATTTATTATTTTGGGATACTTAGATATACAGCATATTTATAATTTTACGTTTGTTACAGTTATAGAATTAAAATTTAAAAGCATTTTTGCGTTGTGTGTGATATTCTAAAAATGTCATAAGAAATATTAGCCATGAAATGTAATCTTGCGGCACTCTACTCCCACTTATTTAGGATATTTTGGAGTTAGTAACGACCTCTTCTGTTGTCTTTTGTAGCAGTTTTTGGAATTAGAAAAAAATTACGAATTAAATGTCATTACATTTTTTTTAATATTATACTGTGACTTACTAGGTCAAAAGCTTAACTTAAAGTCTTTACTAAGATACTTTACTAATTTATTCATATCCTATTTTTGGAATCCGATATGGATAATATATTCGTAAAATGTTGTACTACATCCACTGTTTTACATTGATTTATATATTACACTAGATCAGTAATAACCGCGCCAAAGCGTTGCCACTGCACATATGGCCACAGCCATATGCCTAGCTAACGTCAGTTCAGTGTTCAATGTGACGCCGATAAAGTTGAGCCGCGACAAAAATGGGTAAATGCGTAGTGAAAGAATGCTATTCAAGGTCACAAAAACGTAATAAATCAAGCGGAATCACTTTCAACACATAATTTTTAGTTCTTGTTTTTATATAAACGTAAAAAACCTCAAATAATTAAATAAAATTATCGAATATTGCCACTTAGGTTCAATGTTGCGAGACTTGTTGGGGGACTATATAATTAAAGGAGTAAGTTAATTTGTTACCTCTGATTTTAAATATTTTGGAAATTATAATAAAAACTACGTTTTAACTTTCATACAAAATAATTAATTGTTCTTATTTTAGTTTATTCATAAATTTTATATTAATTATATTTTATTACCTATTTGATATTGTTTGATTTATTAGTACAATAAAAATACTTGTAAAAATATGTTTTATTTCATCATTATGTTTACTTCTATTCAGCTTTGTAGCCTTTTTTTTTAAGGGGACGCAATAAAGATTTTAAAATAAAATATACTTTTTTAACATATAACAATTAACTGCAGCTTAAAAAAAATTTATTGGGTATTTTAGGTAAAATTTCATATAGTAAGCCACACCAACCCGCCATTGCATGTTTGTGTGTCTATCTTTATCTAATCTTAGCGACGATATTGTTTTCGCAACTTGTGTAAGTGAGATAGATATATGTTTATTTAAAATTGTTATTAGTTTAAAAGCTACGTCGTCGCGTTTGGATAGTGGTTACACTTTTTTCGACGCGCGGTAATGTGGTTTGCTCCTCTAGTGTTGTATTACTCAATATTGTTTTTTACATTTAATTATCCTTTGAATAATTTCATATAGAATTTTAGAATAAAAATGATAGTAAATCCCAGTGACGCGCAATATTCATATGTTTGCGGGTTTTCACTTGGTTGGTAATTAAAAAAGATAACGTTATTTGTACCGGTTCCACACATAAATTAACTACTTATCGTCACACCGAAATCAAACGCGAAGTAAAAAAGTAACGTAAATTCCTCATGAACTACGCATGATATATTTCTATATTCTTATAATATAGAGTATCACCTGATCTTTCAAATAATAACATACAAAATTTAAAAGAATCATTTAAAACCTCACCATAATAATCGTGGCGATATGCGCGGCGATGAGCGCGTAAACGCCACCAGAGGCACCAGCCAAGTAGACTTTGGGATCGGTGAGGCTGGTGGCCAATGAGCCGGCCGCCACGCCCGCCACGTACACCAGCGCCACGCGCCACCACCGGTGCACCATCTCTAGCGGCACCCCCAGGAACAGCTGAACCAGCAGGTTCACCACCAAGTGCACCACGCTGCAACCCGGTAACAATGATTTTATGTTCCGTTACTAATCCGAAATAACAATAATGTCCTCCAGACAGAATTTCGGTCACGGCGGCTCTCAACGGAGAATAGTCATCTGCGCAGGACATGATTATAGCGCACAAGTGTATTTGCAAGCCACAAGTGTTTTTTCCATTCCCTCGCTCTCATAGTCCGATGGGACGGTAATCTGACACGACCGACTGGAGATATATTAGGCGCAGGACCAACGGTTTCATGTGCTGTCCAAGGCACGGGAATGAAAGACCGCCATTTTCTTGACTCCAGGCTGCTAATGAGAATTTCTTGACAGAAAAAACGACGGGTTGCACTCCGGGAGTGCCGGCAGAAGTGAAAACTTGAATATTAACGTTGTGCATTTTTGATATTTTGGAATGGTTAGGGAATAATTTTGCACGAATTGCTTTAATTATCAGTATAAAAGTACTATCATTTATGTGGTAGAATACAATATTTATTTATTGCGCTATCGTACACAAACATGACAATTTATATTACATTCGCGCAAGCGCTCTGCGCCGCCTAAACGAAACGGCAGGCGCAGGCATACATTTTCGCCGTGCCGTAGAAATAGAGGGGGATACTTCCTCTCCTACGCCGTCCGTCTTACGAATTTTCGATCAGGTCACGTGTCCTGACGCGAGTTTAACATTTTTTACCCATTACAAAAAAGTGTACAATGCCGCTAAAGAAGTTTTCACTTCAAAACCCAATAACTGATTTTTGGCCGAACCCGGGATTCGAACCCTATCAAAATCAAAAATCGCGTTTACAAGCACTAAACCAAAGAGCAAGTCAAACTAATCCATACTGTATCCAGTATCCACGAGACTAAATACTAGGGATGGGCCGAATATGGATTTCACCGAATACGAATATTCGGCCGAACGTTCGGTAAAATTTTTACCGAACCGAATATTCGGCCGAAAATTATTCGGCAGGATTACCTCGGTATCTAACCAATTTATGTCCAAACTTGTTACCGTAAAGCGCGCAGGATTACCGCCAGAGCCTTCCCCTTGCTCCCCCGCCACACCTGACATGTTATTGCAACATCTAGTACTGAATAAATTGCCGGCACATGCTTATGTTTAGACTGTTTTTGTGAGAAAAAAGTATTCTTAGTGAAATTTGAAAAGTATGTGATGAAAATGAGTGGCAACAGATCTACTATTTGGACCTATTTTAGAGAAACTGACGACTGTAATGTAATGTTTCTTCGTTTGATTCCAAACAAAATTTTATCAACTTTTCTATTTGCTATAATTGGAAATAAATCTACAGTGCTTCAAAGACATATCATTATACAAGTAGATTTAACCCATAAATAAATATACTTTAATTTAAACAGTAAATTGATGAAAGACATGGCATTACTCAATTCGTACATTTCCATACAGTGGATACTTTGAGTACCACTTTAACGAATATTCGGTGGTTTAGCCGAATATCCGGCCGAATACGAATATTCGGTAAACATGCCGAATACCGAATATAAAACGAATATTCGGCCCATCTCTACTAAATACAGGATTATTTTTAAAAGAGTAGCCAGATTTTACATTTAATTTCAAATATATAAATAATGATATAGCTTGTAGTTCCATATAAATTTGACAATAGACTCTAGCGCTAAACGAAACGTGAAGGGGATAGCTGCGCATGTCGTATCAGTACGCCGATAGCCGTAGCCGTAAGCAAGTAGCAGTAGTGCTTACCGCCCCTTGATACCTATTTTAATACCCAACAACCAGGTCACCTACAGTTTTTGAAAATACGAGTAGGGCGTCTAATTTTATTTGAAATTATCCCAAATTGTATGTTATTTATAGGCAACAATGTTTTCGACAGTGGATCGACCCTTACGAATGTGTGATAACAATGCATTACCCCGCATTTTGAATTTAATAATAAAAAGGACAGAATGTTTGATGTTTTTAAATTTATTTTATCTTCACGTTTGCTTATATTACTTATTCTGAACTTTTCCTGCTAATTTGTACAGTAATTGCAAAAAAACCCTGTATAAGACTATGTACATACGAGTATTGCAGAGCTTACGTTAAGTCTCACTTTTTACCAGACTGCCTCAGGAGGCTAATGTTTTTGAGTGTATTTATGTGTGTCTATTTCTTTGGAATAATCTGTATCTCAAACAGTTTGGTGAATTTTATCATTTGGAATGTCGTTAGATTCGCCTTAGCTGAGTAATTGATGTGAGTATAAAATTTTCCTTTTTCAATAAACTTTTTAACTGAACGCAGTTGGTTTTTTAAATTACTATTTTGACCATTGGACTTGAGTAGTTTGCATGAAATGCGTCGATCTTCTTATTTTAAATGTAACATACACGAGATACTAAAAATAGATCTCTCGGTGGCAACGAGTTCTTTCTGCGCTTTCCTATAGTCACCTCTTCTAGTGCATCTTATTCACGTCAGGTGTTAGAAGTGCGAGACGTCTAATACTGTAACCGTGAAGTGACGATGTAAATATATTCACAACAGGCGACAGAGGTAAGCAAATCAAATTAAAATGAAAAAAAAACTTCGGTTGCCAATGCGCTTGTAAAGCTTGGCAAGAATGGCAAATATCCTCCCTATGAGACAATCTGTGGGGGAGGTCTATGTTCAGCAGTGGACTTTAATGAACTGTAACAGTAATGGTCTGACATTTGAATTGTCAATCCGCCTGCAAGTGGGGTGAAAGCGTTACGATAACAGGAAAGAGTCATGTCCACACTGGAGTAGACATGTGTCATTTATCATTTCTAGAGACCCGATTATTCAGTAGTGAGTATTGATTCGTCTTACGAACCGGATCATTTGGGTCAATCATTCAAATGGACCAATTCCAGTATCAGTAGTCGGTGATCTGTGAGACCCGCTCGATAATGTCGGTCACCGAACATTACCATACTCTTTGTGTCATAAGTCCTGTCAACCGTTTGATCCGGAACGTTCAAAAAATGTAATAGCAATCAATAATCAATACTTTAATGCGACCAGAGTCAAATTAACGAATCATTTAAGATTGACAAATGTTTACATTGGAGTTTTACGGGCTGATCATGATGAAGAATGATTAATGCAGAATACTTGAACATATCAAAATAAATAGAAATTAAAACTACGATAAATACCATAAAAGGTACATAGTTAAAAAAGCGATAACACAGTCAAGTAAGTTACGCAGGAATGGCACGAACTATGCGGTTGCACCGTCTCTGACAAATTAACGCGCCTTTATAAGCGGAGGTGTCTGATAATAATTCTAATTACTGAAGTACCTAGTTTGTTAAATTACCCTTTAGCTTATCTGACTGACAGGTTAGGCATGGCATAGGATGGCACTATTCTATGATGTTTGAAGATTTAGCAGACGCAAGCGTTGAATGACTCAAAGGAGTCATATCAGACTACATAATTCTTGCAATGATAAAATTATTTTATATTTGAAGTACGAGGGGTGATCCAAAAGTAATGATAATCGGTTACTTCAGGTACGCATAAAAAAAAATATTTTTTGCTTGCTTATATACTCACTACGTCAGCCTAAAAAAATCATATAAATAGATCACGATTTCCGGGAGATACATTCATTTGAATACGAAATGTCAAAGAGATAACATCAACATGGAGAAAAACGAAATTAGAGCTGTCATCAAGTACCTCTGTTTGAAAAAAATGTCTTGAAAAGACATACACAGTGACTTTGTGGAAACATTGGGGGGCTCTGCTCCTCTATATTCTACAGTTGCACGCTGGGCCAAGGAGTTTAAATTGGGCAGAACATCCACTGAAGATGAATATCGCGAAGGACGCTCATCCACGTCCCTCACTGAAGACAACGTGAAAAAAGTCGAAGATGTTGTGTTGGCAGATCGAAGAGTGACCATCAAGCATGTAGCTGAGGTCACAGGGATCTCATATGGCAGCGTTGAAAGAATCCTTGCGAACGAGTTGCATATGAAAAAGGTCTCTGCGCATTGGGTACCCAGAATGTTATCCGACGAGCAAAAGAAAAATCGAGTTGACATTTCGAGGGTCAATCTCGAAAAGTTCCAAGCAGATCAAGAAAATTTTTTGTTCCGTTTTGTGACTATGGACAACATAGTCACATAGTCACATAGTGACGTGCTATATGTGAAAAGGGAGCCACTATTACGGGCTTTTACTACGCAGACCAAATAAGAAGATTACGGGAGGCCATTAAGGAAAAAAGACGCGGCAAACTGCGAGCTGGAGTGCTGTTTCACCAAGACAACGTAACGGCTCACAAAGCCGCAGTTGCGATGGCTGCCATTCAAGAAACGGGATTCGAACTGCTCGAACACCCTCCCTATTCGCCAGATCTAGATCCTAGTGACTACTCTACCTCTACCTCTTTCCTCGGCTCAAGGAACGCCTCTGAGGCAAGAAATTCGAAGACGATAGCGAAGTAAGTCACTGTAGTTTGGGGGGGGGGTCAGCCAACTTCTTTTACTAGTACGAGAGTTTTCATATACATATTTATCAAGCTACTAGCACAAGCTACTAGTTTTATCACGCAGGGAAATTCTCAGCCCATCGCTACTCACAAGAGCTAAAGCTCTGTCCTGAAAATCATGCCTAATTGCCTAATTACTTGTAAAGTTGCGTTTGAGTGTTTGAACGTAAATCTACAACAGTTTTTACTAAATACATATCAAAGTATATACGGTACTTATAATAAAATACAATTTCTTAAATTTTGGTCTGACTTTCTGTCTATTTGTTCCGGCTAATCTCCGAAATGGCTGGATCGATTTTGATCGATCAGGTCAGATAGCTGATGTTGTAAGGAATAATTTAGGCTACTTTTATTTTAAAAAATTAGGATTCCGCGCTAAAAAATTAAGATAGTTGAATAATAAAATTTTGACTTTGAAAGAGTCATTGTTGGTTTCCACGAGTGACACCTGACAACCCATGTGAGACTTTAATTGTTTGAAGTTAGTTACAGGTGTCCATGGGCACAGTAGCCACTGGATTGTCGGCAAGTTAGTCATTTGACATCCTTTGTAGCAAAGATTAATTCTGCAGGCATCAGAAATCGTAACAGTGTTGAAATATGGGCCACGAGAAACTTATACCATTCATGAGAGAAAAAGCCTTGAAGTAACTATATTTGGAATTCTTTAAGTGTCAAACAAGCACACAGTTTACCTGAAGGTAAATAGATGCAGTGGTCCATAGATGCCGACATTTATTCTCGATTCATGATCAAAATGCAGATGCGTCACTCTGACGGATTACGATGCAATACCTCGTGGTCAGTACAAGAGTCGCTCACTATACGCAACACAATGGTATATGTTGCTATTGTATGCTAGTGTTCTGTTAGAATGGGCTCTATTACTCCAACTTACTTGTGCTGCAGTCATTATAAAGCTGCAGCGTAGCTCTACCACGTATTTGTACGGACTAACAAATATATCTTCTTCAGTCTGTCATAAGTCTATTGTTGGTCACTGCTGGGCTGCCTCGTTGGTCTAGTGGTCATAAACGCCGTTGCTTATCATGAGGTCCCGGTGTTGAATCCCGGACGGACCACAAAAAATCAATTTTTAACAATAGAATACGGGTGACAAACGAGTACATAGTCCACCTGATGGTAAGTGGATGCTGTGGCAAATCAAAACGCAGATGTGTTGTCACTCCTAAGGACTAAGATGGAATGCCTCGTTTTCAGTAAAAAAGGGTCTCCGGATCTCTACACTCACCATACGAAACACAGCAGTATTAAGCTGCTATTTTACGCTGGTATTCTGTGAGAGCGTGGTCTTTCCCCGGTCGAGCCGACCCATTCGTGATACAACCATAATATAGCCGCAGTGTGGCTCTACCACGCATAAATAAATGACAGTTAAAACAGTTATTGTTTCTGTCAAGAAATTATCAGTAGCTGCCCGGAGTCAGGTAATTGTCGGTGCCTCACCCCCGTGACTCAAAAAGCACGTAAAGCTGATAAAGTTGTCCCGCACCTGGTTTCTCTCCGGTCGTGTCTGTTTACCGTCCCATCGGACTATGACATTGAGGGAATAGAATGCACCTGCGTTTGCGCATACATTTGATCTCTATAGTCCTGTACTGCGCCGGTGGTAATCTCCGTTCAGGCTGGTCGCCATGACCAAAATTCGGCCTTTATGACATTATTACTGTTGGACTTACTCGTCCTTTCCATTGTAGGGAGAATTTTCTTTAATCGTGACGCTTGGAAGGAGAATTTATGATCCCAGTAACAGATTTTTCACACCTTTGTTACGTGGTAGAGCCACGCTGCAGCTTTATTATAGTTGTAGCACGAATGGGTCGGCTCTACCGGGGTAGGACCACGCTCTCACAGAATACCAGCGTAAAATAGCAGCTCAATTCTGCTGTTTTTCGTATGGTGAATGTAAAGAACCGGAGACCACTTTTACTGGAATCGAGGCATTCCTCAGGGGTGACAACGTATTTGCATTTTGATATTTAATTAAGGATAATTGTAGATGTCTATGGACTACACCAAAGCCATCCACTGAACATCAGGTGGACTGTGTACTCGTTTGTCACCCAATGATTTAAAAAAAAAATATTTGAAGCTGCTTACTCTCGCCGATTATTTCAATATCATTTCAGATTCATCGCCTTAAGATCTTAGGCTAGATGCTGCTATCTATCTCCTATTTCAGTTTCTCTGTCGCTTTTAACGGACACTTACGGGACGTTATGGGGTAGTGGATATTTTTTTTTATATACCGAATTATTTACTAATAACCAGTCAAATTTGCAGAGAAGGTTCAGAGTGAGTAATATAGGTAAATGGTGAAGAAAAATTAATCAAAAAATCTCTAACATTGTCCTTTTTATCTTTTGAAGTACCCGGATGACCGAGCTTTTTTTCGTTTTTTTTTTAACTGAACTGGTTATTTGAATAAAAAATCATAAGTGAAATTTTAATTAAAATTTTCGTATTTTTAAAAAATACTTAAAAAAAAGGGCTCGATATAATAGATTTTCTCACAAAATAAAGGAACTTGAAAAAAAAAAGGAAAAAAATTCGGACCGAAGACAGGACGCGAACCAAGGTATTACGGTATCGCGACCGCTCGATATCCACTTGAGCTATTACGATCATTAACACAGTGTCAAAATTTACGTTCTTATATTGTAGCAGTTTTTCATTGCCTGAAAACACGGACAAAAAGATATTTTCTAAAAATAAATCTTAGCTAGATCGATCTATTGCCCCCGAAACTCCCTGGACACTAAATTTTATGAAAATCGTTGGTGCCGTTTCCGAGATTCCGATTATATAAAATCAGTATGCAGTAGTGATAATAGGGCTTCGTACTGGATACATTCCATTTAGAAAGTTTGCATTCCTTATGAAAAAGGTCCAGTCACCGAACTGTGATCAATGCGATGTTTCAGAGGACCTAATGTATGTCTTGATGGATTGTGCCCACAACGCTGCCTTTCTATATACACAAGAATTGCTCGTTTAAAGATATAGGATTAAAAATGCGTGGTAATGCATTATTTTAACTGGTTTTACTATAGATGCATACATTCTCAAGGGTCGATCGGTAGACAAAAACTTTGTTGCCCATAAATCACATTAATTGGAGATTAATTTCAAATAAAAGTAGAAGCCTTATGAAATCATATTTTCAAAAACTACAATAACGGTATCTCATTATTAATATATTTAAACTTAAGTTTAATATTTGGCTACTCTGTGAAAAATTACCCTGTATATGTGTGTGTGTGCAGCAAACGAGTATTCGGCTCAGGTAACTACCGCTGCCCATGAACAACTGCAATACTAGGAGAATTGCAGATGTGTAACAGGCCTTTTAAAACAGAGTAGGTATGTTCTCTTCTTAAAGGTTCCTGAATCGTATCGGTCCCGAAAAATCGCTGATGGTAGTCGATTCCAGAAGGAAGTTGTGCGAGGAAGAAAACTTCTTGTAAATCCCACAGTAGTGGACCGCGAATTATCCAAAAGGTATGGATAGTATCGCGAGTCTTGTTGCGATGTGCGATGGCGAAATTGAACGGCTGGAATTAGTTCGAACAATTCCTCTGAACGCTCCCCGTAGTAGATGCGCCACCTACACCACCACTACACGGTTTATGACTCATGATTGATGAAATTTATGATCTTACCCGACATGCACCAGCATATACGTGAGGAACCGCCACGCCTCCTGCCGCTTATGTGGATTGTAGATGAAGATCTGTGCGACGGGGCCCGTCGCGTCCATCTTCCCCTGGGAGGCATCGTAGCAGAACAGCACTATCTCAATCAATGAGATCAGGATCATGCAGATCGCCGGCGGCCAACAGCTATACTCCTCTTCGTATATACCGTCTGTGTATGTGAAGAACGCTTTGCTACGGGTGTGGGCTGTACGCAACACAACAAAGGAGAACAGAAGAGAAAAGCGGAGTGGTAGTTAGGAAAGGAGAACGGATGCAGTAGAATTGTGAAAGTGTTTTCAAGTTCGATATTGATTTTAGAATATTTTAAATTAGAGCAATGGGTGTATATAAAAGTAAATACCCGATTAATCGTTTGAAAATCGAATAATTAAAAAAAAAAGAAATAAAACAAGAAGACCGATTGTCAAGTTTCGCGGTTATTTTCCGTTATAAATAGCCCGTAACAATAGAGCAGAAATGGTCCACGCGTGATCCGAGTGGCAGGCATTATTACCGCACAGGACGCGTAAGTTGATAAAACGGTCATGCAACGAAAAGGACAAATTGCCCGTAATTGATTACGACATAGTGAAAAATTCGTATTAATAGAGATTACATATTAAGATGAAATTATTCGCAATTTGAATTTGGAAATTCGAATATGAAAATTATGTAACGAATTTAAATTTAAAAATAGAACGATAGGGGGTTAAGCGAATTCATATTTTGTATGTATGCAAGTGTGGGTAGGGTTTATCAAACATTGGAACAAACAAAAGCAATAATAGGGGGTTGGGGGGAAAAAGGGGAAAAAATGCATAATTAGTAAATGTTACGTTAGTAAATTAGCATAAATGGTATTTATAGCTTAATTAGTGTTGCAAGCAATTGTTAGCTGCTCCCATGAAAAGCATTTGTTATGGAGATATCATGCGATAAAAATATATAATATATATATATATATATATATATGTATATATATATATATATATCGACCACATTTGTGCACATTGCTGATTGCTGATTGCATATGAGTCAAGATGATATTTTTATAGATAGATAGATAGGCAACACTTTATAGTACAACAAAAAATACAGCAACCAAAGAAGATAGAAAATAAAGTGTAACAATGGGCGGTCTTATCCCAAAATCGATTTTTATTTCATATTTTAGTATAAGTTATGCCTTTACTTATAGCTTTTTATTTGCTGACAAAATGTGTAAATTGTATGAAATAATACAGCTTCATATTTAGTTGATTTGTCCATGGCTGAGGAATATTTTCATTGAACCAGCGACACAATACAACATCTGATTAATGAGAATAATTAAAAATTATGAAAAAAAAAAACTATCAGTTATAAGACTGCACGGCAGAAGTGAAAACTTCTTAGCTTCACAAACTTAAAGGTACCTAAACATTATTTTTAACTTGTTTTTACAGAAGTATTTTTTTTAGAAAACAATTTTCATTTATTGCGCTGTGTTACATGGAAAAGAATGATTATTATCTAAATAATACACACAAACACATACACACACACACACGCACACGCACACGCACACACACACACGCACACGCACACGCGAGTTTAGTGCCAATTTTTCCCCATCCCTAAAGTTCCCAACGTGCCTGAAGAAGTGATTTATTTCAAAAATTCTATTCCTTCTTGTCCATGTGACTGTCCGTGGAGTCCATTGAACTTTACAACTTATTTAGTTACGGGTGAATAGAAACAATGTAGTTAATTTGGTCGGTTTGGTTTAAAAGCACTATGGACTTTCTAAAATTCAAACGTAAACAAAACATTCATAAATTTAAATCGTAATTAATTACGTACGTCCGTAACGTATGTAATTGATTTTAGATAAGGCCGGCTTATTATTTATCCAACCGGATTAACTTAACCTTCATTGATATCAAATGCACAAACTAGACAGTTTTAGTTAATATTAGATTGTGATATATATATACATAACTACTGTTCTTAAAGTTGAGTTTGATAGGCTAATTTTAATTTAAATTTACATATTTTTACATAAAATATGAAAAATGTTGTTTTTTATTACCGAGTACTAGGGACCTACCCTTTTTAGTCTGGGTAACAAACTGCTCAAACATGAGTCACTGAATCAATAATTTTATGACGTCTATATCTCTAATGTTATCATATTAAGTCAACATCAAATAAAAAAGAACATAAGAAAAACATACCAAAATAATTAATTATATTCTTCACATATCCCAATATTTTCTTCAGACAACTACACACGCTGGAATTATCAGTCCGTTTGTTGATATCCTTGTAGGCATAATCATTACTTTTACACGTTTTGAACCACATTTTTTAATTTTCGTAACTTAAGTATAACTTAAAACAACTTGATTCTGACTTAAGCATCTGATGCTAGCAATATCAACGTCATTTTAGAATGAGTTTCAAATTATTAAACCTATTAAGATAAAACTTCCAATCGGAGTTTTTTGGAGCATGTCTCCAAACTAAATTACAAATTTAACGGGAAAAGTAATAAATAAATCTTAAACAATTTAATTAATTAACTATGTAGCATTTTCACTTTGCTTTCCCGCGTCCTTCGTTTTTTTTTTTAATTACACGTATGACAAACCATTGCGCTCGTTAAGCCTTTGCACTTTTCACGCGTCCGTTTTACCGCGCTAAATGCAAAATACTGCGATAGACGAGAGCGACAAAGATTTACAAAGGGAACGAACTAATGCAATGTAGCATAATTTGTGTTCGTTACATTACAACTAAGACATTTTTCTGTAACTATCTGGTCGTTTAATATGATTATGTTAATTATATTTACAATCTTTATTTAAAATGTCTGTATTAAATTGTTATAAATGTTAGTGTTAAGGAATATAATTTTTTTTTATAGACGAAGGATGACAAACGAGCACACAGTCCACTTGATGGTAAGAAGATGATGTGGCTCATAGGCATGGAGATCTACCCTCGGTTAAGAATCAAAATGCAGTCACCTCTGAGGACTAATATTGTAAGTCTCGTTTCCAGTAAAAGAGTCTCCATTTATTTTCACTCGCCATACGAAACATAGTGGAATTAAGCTGCTATTGATGATGTGTTCTCTTCTCTAAACTTACCCAAACAATAACTGTTTATAGTTAATAAAGATTTAAAAACATACAAATCTTAATTGATTTAAATTGCAGCGATAATTTCTTATCGTAAGTTATGTATTAACAGCGCTGGACAATTTATGTTTCGTAAGCTATCCATCCATTTGTTATCCATTCCAGCCCGTCACAGAATGTAATAGAATAGAATATAATCAGTTTTTTAAATATAGATTACAAGAATAATGATTGAATGTAATTTAAGTTTTACCACTGGTTCAGAAAACTCTGTTCTGGAAAGAACCAGCGTTAAACTCAGCGGGACTTATTTAACCACTTCTGACACAAATCCACTGCTGAACGTAGGCCCTCCCCAAGAAATGCCATAAAATTGGATCTAAGCCATCCGCATACCAAATCGTCACTCCATCTAGTGCTAGCCTAGTCTTGCCGTTACAAGGCTGCCATTCGGTTCTCTCTTTTTTCAGCTATATGTCTGTGGCATTGCCACCCCAGCTTATTGAGAAATGCCGATTACCATGATCCTATTACGGATAACATAGTTAAAAATTCTATTACGCAGTAGTTTCAGCTTTCAGTGGTTGCAGGTTGATAGACAGTTTGTCAGTGCTGAACCATCTAAGACTGCATCACCACTTAACACCAGGTGGGATTGTGGCCAAGCACTGGCTTATAAAAGTAAAAAAAAAAGAAAAGAAAAAGAAGTGTTTGTACAATAGGGCTACGATGGCAAAATATAATATATATATATATATATATATATATATATATATATATATATGTGTGTTTGTATTTAAAATACGTAATCATTCATCTAGTCCCGTTAATGAATTCCAGCTCATCACAAATCCATCACTAAACATAGGCCAAGGCAAAGGCCTCATACATTTATTAGGACTCCGTATGATTCATCAGGTCGCTAATGATGCCGATAGTAATAGAAAAATAAAATCCGAATTCCAAATCGATCATCATCATCATGAACTCGAACGCCCTGACAATTCAGTCAAGAAGCTAGTATTACAGTGCCATGATACAGCCGATCAGGATGAGAACATGCTCTCATTTTGTGACAGTCTAAAATAGCAGCATAATGATGCTATGTGAGCTTAGATAAACGGAGTAGTGGTAACGAGGAATTCCATCTTAGTCTTCATGCTCACACACGCATCTGCATTGCGATTTTCAATAGAGGAGATGTAGATGTCTTTGGGCATTAACATCCACTTACTATAAGGTCGATTGTGTGTGTATTCGTATGTTACTAGTATATAGATATCTCAATATTCCTGTGCCTTGATATAAATATATTTTCTGCATGGTAGAGCCACGCTGCAGCTATATTATGGTTTGAGATAAAACGGGTCCGAATCGATCTTGATATTAATATATTGTCTGCATGGTAGAGTCACGCTGCAGCTATATTATGGTTTGAGATAAAACGGGTCCGAATCGATCTTGATATTAATATATTTTCTGCATGGTAGAGCCACGCCGCAGCTATATTATGGTTTGAGATAAAACGGGTCCGAATCGATCTTGATATAAATATATTTTCTGCATGGTAGAGCCACGCTGCAGCTATATTATGGTTTGAGATAAAACGGGTCCGAATCGATCTTGATATTAATATATTGTCTGCATGGTAGAGTCACGCTGCAGCTATATTATGGTTTGAGATAAAACGGGTCCGAATCGATCTTGATATTAATATATTGTCTGCATGGTAGAGTCACGCTGCAGCTATATTATTGTTTGAGATAAAACGGGTCCGAATCGATCTTGATATTAATATATTTTCTGCATGGTAGAGTCACGCTGCAGCTATATTATGGTTTGAGATAAAACGGGTCCGAATCGATCTTGATATTAATATATTTTCTGCATGGTAGAGCCACGCCGCAGCTATATTATGGTTTGAGATAAAACGGGTCCGAATCGATCTTGATATAAATATATTTTCTGCATGGTAGAGCCACGCTGCAGCTATATTATGGTTTGAGATAAAACGGGTCCGAATCGATCTTGATATAAATATATT